TATGGAGCCCTGAGAGCTGAAACCCCCCCCCCCCCGTCATCAGGCACCCCTCTCATGTCCTGAAAGAGGAAACTAGAACCCAGAGAGGGTGAGTGATGTGCTCAAGGTCACACTGCAAAGGCCCGTTCCTGGGCTTCTGCACCAAGTCTCCTGAGGCTCACTGGTTGCAGGGAGGCCAGCTATTGAGTCAGTGGATACACAGCAGCGCTTCCGGGAGGAGCAGCCCCGCCTCGGGTGGACAGGATGCCGCGCGACACGGCACGCCCGTGTGTTGTCTGTGGCTTTGGAGTGCATCCTATGTTTTAAATATTCATAGTGGGTTTGGTGCCCCAATAGTGTCAGGCTAGTCACCCCCGAGAAGGACATTTCTTGAGGCAGACTAGTGCCTGGAGAGGAGGATGCTGATTCTGATCCTAGATTATGAGCTCCTGCTCTTGTCATCATTTATATCCATTGCCTCCCTCTTCCTCACATGGATTTCACAGAGGAAACCAAGGCTCAGACAAGCTAGACAACTAGCCCAGCAAGTAAGTGGCAGCTGAGCTTCAAACCTGTGTCTGGCACTGGAGATCTTGTTCTTAGCCACTGTGTTCAAAGAGCCAGGAGACAAGCAATTTGGTTTGTCTCATTTGCTGACTTGCAAAGACTGTTTTTATCCTGGTTCAGAGACTCATTGTTCCTGGTTGGAAGGATTCCCACAGTGGGTCCCTATAAGCAGCTTTGGACAATGGTGTCCCTGAGTCCCTGGACCAGCCCTTGGACAGGCCTCTGTGGCAAGCTGGGCTCAGGGCTGACTGGGGCAAGGAGAGGCCTGGAGATGGTTGGACAGATGAGGGCAGGTCTGAGGCTGATCAGCCTGACTGAGACCCTCTAGGCTGCCACCTGGGACTTGGGAGCTGATGCCGGGGGTGCCTGTGGAGTTGCCTGCCAGGCATCCACTCCTCTTGGTCTGAAAAAACCACTGCAGAGACTCCCATGGACATGGCCCATCCCCCTTCCTAAAGTTCAGGTGGGGCTGACGGTCACCGATCTGGTTCCTGGGCTGAGCAAGTGACCTAGTGCTGGCCAATCAGCATATTCCATACTCTGACCAGAGTCACTGGTACAAGGAAGGGCCTGGGACACAGATTGGTTAAAATGAGGTTTGGTCCCTGAAATTTAAATGAGGAACTTCCTGCGGTGGGCATGGGGCTGGGATGAGGGAGGCTTAGGGGAGTGGGGGCCAGTACAACGAGTGAGGACACCAACGCAGATTCAGAACTTACCGTTGGGCCTTGCACATCATTTTGCTTCTTTCTCATAAAAACCCTATCAGGCAGTAATTATCCCCATTTCAAAGACCGAACACGTAAGTACTCGCTAAATAGTCGCTTAGTGCCAGACACAACACTGTATGTTTTATAGGAGTCAACCTAATGTTTCCCAAATTTCTCTGATAAGAATCCCTAAGACTTGTCAGACTGCCAGGCCTCCCTCACCCCTGGGAATTCTGGTTCTGTAGCTCTGGACTGGGGCCCGGGAATCTGTGTTTTAACACGCACCCAGAGGATTCTCATCATTGGGGACATTTGGGAAATGCTGCATTAAACGTAATACCCACAACAGCCCAGGGAGGAGGGTGTTATGGCCATGCTCACTCAACGTTGAGGAAAGGAGGCTCAGAGAGGTTAGTAACCTGCCCAAGATAACACAGGTGGTGAGTGACAGCTGGGATTTGAACCTGGGTCTACGTGACGTTCACACTCCTTGGGGAAAGGGGCTGATAATAACTACCTGTGTGTGTGTCTCCCAGGTCATGAGAC